GTATTATACAGTATTATACGGTATTATACCTGGTATTATACTACCATTTCTATTATACCGGTATAATAAAAACCCTAGGTATTAGCATAATCTAAGTAGTTAGCCTAACCCTAGCATACGTTTGCCAAATTAACCAATTAGACTAACCAAAACTTTTCGCGTCCCTGCCCGTGCCAAATAATAGTCACGTGCAATACTAGCAGGTATATAGACAGGTGTAAGTATATATACATAAACAAATTAATAATCTCTCACGTTTTTTTTTACCGGAAATTTCGCGTTTCTCTTATCATATTTTTAGATCTAAAACAATGTCTTCCGAAGAGAGGAAGAGAAAACTCGAAGAGTTGTCGGAAAAAGCTAGAGCAAAGAAAGCTACTGAACTGTATGTTTGAAATATTTCGTGAAATTTGATTGTTTGGAAAGACCTGTTTAATGACAAACTAGTAGCAAGTTAATAATTTAAATTGTTTTCAAATATAATAATAAAGTGAAGAACAGGAGGAGCGCAAGGAATCGACAAAAAAAGCAAAATCCAAATTCAGTAATTCACAGAAAGATAAAAAAACGAAATTATCTGCTAGCCCTTCACCAGCAAAGAATAAACCGCTTCCTCCTCTGAGAGGGAGTGGAAGAACTGCACGTCAAGATGAATATGAAGATGATGGATTCATTGTGGATGATGAAGGTTAGTACAAATTTTTCAGGTTAAATGAAAAAGAGCTAACTATGCTACGCATATGTTATTAGAAGAAGTATCTGCATCAGAAAGTAAATCAGAATCCGAAGCTTCTAACCTATCTGACCAGTTATCTGAACCAAGTGATTCTGGATCAAAAAAAAAGAAAAAAGTCGCGTCCTCGACAAAAAACAAGAAATTAAGCAGCAACAAAAAAGTAGGCAATAATGGTTTTGAAAATACTGTCAATATATATGTTAAATATAGTATCTTAATGGTGTTTTGTATGCCGGATTAATTTTTGAAGGTGACAAAACGAAAGAAAGATGAAGAGGCATCTGATGAAGATGAGGTTGTAGTAAAAAAGAAATCTGATAAAAAAAAAAAGAAGCGTAATGATGATGAGGAATCTGATGAAGATGAGGTTGCGGTAAAAAAGAAATCTGATAAAAAAAAAAAGAAGCGTAATGATGATGATTCATTTGACGAAGCTTCTGCTGATGATTCAGATGATTTAAGTAAGTTTATATTTAATCTTTATTTTTTTTTTTTTTAAGTAATATTTATTTGTTTTAATTATTTTCCAATTCAGAGTATGAGCTTGAAGGTCTTGATACTTCTACAATTATTCCAGGACGAAGAACAAGAGGGAAACGAATAGACTTCACAGGGCAGGTAAATAACAAAAATTAATTTACTAATGTTCATCATGGCGCATTTTTTCAAAAAAATTTTCATAATATAGGACCCAGACGAGGATGAATGATTATTATATCTCGTAAAAAGGAAATTGCCTGTGATACTTAATTCATGATTAAGCCTTTATTTCGGTCATGATTTATTTTATTTTATTTTTCTTTCATTTTATTCACAAGCTTGAATTTAGCTATAGTGTCAGATTTGAAATTTTTTCATTTGCTTATAGGATTTATTAATTGGTTATTAGTGTTAGAAAAGAATATCAATTGTAGGCTTAACGAGATGGCACATTTTGTTGTCATAATAATGACTAATGAATGAATCGAATGAATAATTCAACTCGTAGTTATGTGTATCGAGTATTTTAATGTTCTCAAGGTAAATTATTTCACTGATAGAATGTATAAAAACACGTATATATCGTACCCCAGATTGGAATCGTCTCTATTCAGAATCAGGCTGCCCCGGATAGGGTTAGGTTAAGGTTAAATTGGGTTTAGAATGAAATTTTTAGTTAGCATAATGTTGGCCAAAATTACAAAATTATCGTCTGGGACTGAATCAGATACAACAGTTATATAATGTACAGCTGACAGTAATTTAAAGATAACGTATGTCACGTGATGCGCAATATATATTTGTGAGAGAACATCCAGTTTGCTGCATGGTATAATAGTATTCGTCACGAAAACGCATGGAAGACGATTCTCTCTTCCGGTCTCACCGCTCAGCACCTACGCCGTCAACACCGGCACCTCGCAGACAACGTAGCCTACCTCCGAGTTTACCTTCCTTCGATACCTCTTTGCTTTTTCACCGCACGTTACATTCGCGCATATCAAACAAGCATCATGGTATAACTCGTGCAAAAGTAAAAGTTGCTATCGAACTTGAATTAAGGGAAGAGAGGCTAAGGGAGGCTTCTGCGCGTGGTGATTGTAATACCGGTACCAGTAGCTTTGCTTGCTTTGTTTTCGAAATCAGAGATCGTTGATCTCAATCAGTTTTGCCATGGTACCGTCTTCAGGACTTTATTAATTCATTTAATAATTTCTATCATGCAGTTATTAAATTACTTTCTACTACTCCGCAGCCTGATATTAACAGTGCAGACGAGAAAGGTAGAACACCTTTACATTTCGCTTGTGCTGGTGGGCATAACGATTGCGTCAAGCTATTAATTGAACGTGGCGCAAATGTTAATGCGGAAGCAGACATTGCCGGAAATAGACCTTTACATTTGGGTAATAATCATCAACTCTTGTTCTTTTGTTTAATTATTATCAAATACAATAATTGCAATTTCTTATAAACCTTTATATTAGCTGTCATTTCCAATAAAATGGATTGCGTTATAGCTTTATTAGAAGCAGGTAAAAGACAACTGACATTATTATTATTTTATTGTGCTTAAATTGGCTTGTCATGTCATTCTTAATGTAATAATTATAGGTGCAAAAATAAATATGAACGATGCATTTCATCGTACACCGTTATCAGTCGCAAGATCGCGCCTTAATATTTTAATGAAGAATATCGAATCTGCTAATGTAGATGTTGAAGAAATGGTCGAAGATAATGAACATATACCCGAAAATCGGGAAATCTTTGTGCAGGTTTTACAGGTAACAATATGTTATATATTAATATGGGTGATGAATGAATATAATTATCATTAATGATAATATTTTTATTCTTCTATTTTATGGTATGCAGATTATCAAAATTCTACGACATTATTTATCAATAGAAAATAGAGATATAAAGAACAATACTGAAATTATGGGTTCAGCCGATACTTCTTTTACAACTGGTAACGAGCCTATGACAATTTCTAATACAGGATCAGCAACAAGTGCTATGGAAGCCTTAGACGATTTAACCTCCCAATTGTCACAAATGGCCATTTCAACTTCAAAGTTTGAAAACGCAAGTAGTAACAGCACTATAAAAAGTTCGTCAATGAATCAATATACACTACCTGATTCGATTGTCTTGAACAAAGTCCAAAATGTTTTGGATAACATAATTAAATACCAGACATAGAATTTGAACGGCTTTAAAGTCAAGTGTCCTAACGATCATGTTAATCATCATTCTACTCAATTTCAAAGTCGAATATAATATGTTGAGAGAATTATATACGTTATTTTTTCGTGTAATACATATCTTTAAAAAATAGATATAAAAATCTGAAAACGGCATAAAATCCTGCTATTAGGCATGCTATTCCAAAATAAAGATTTATGGCCTTTGTCCACCATTACTTATTGTTTGACCTAGTAAAGTTTAAAAATCAATACCCTTTTTTCATATAATATCGGCTAAGATTGTTGCAAAACATATCCAAAATTGACTGTCTTATTTTTATATGTATATATAACGTGGGTGATGATGGTACATAGTAATATACAATTTTCAAATTTATACGTACGTAACTTATATCTTTGAAATACTTCTAAATAAAAATTAATGCTGCGGCTGAATCTGGAAATTAAGGTCCTCGATTTAAAAATATAAACCCTTATATTAACTATATTATATAAAAAAAAAAAAACTAAAAATTGCACCCCAAAAAAATTTCGAAAGTATTAAAATACAGTCAGACCCCAAATGCAACCCCCTAAGTGCACGTCCTATGAAAAGCCTCGTCTTCTCTTGGGCCCAACTAATATTACGCTTATAGATTTTTACCTCCCTAAATGCAATACTTCTCTAAATGCACATGGTCTCGTCGCATTGCATTTACCTGTAAGTAAAATCCTATTCGTTAATTATGTTGATTTCAACCCATTTGACACTGGGCGTGGCCAATCTTATGGAG